GTATTCTAGGCAAAGTGGTCTACCACTGAGTACGTCTCCAGCCTAAACAAATAAAAAAATTAATAAACAGGTATTTCCAAAATACAATGGCAGGACAGTCATAAGTATTTCCATTGGATATTCCATAGGTATTTCCATAGGATAGGTATTTCCATTCCAAAAGGGAGAAATGGGCAAGAAAAAAGAGATAATGAGTCCATGAAAGTCTAAGAATAAACAGTCTCCTTCTTAAACTTAAATCCCCTCGTACCCTTCATCAGCTAACTGATGGGTCTACAATCAGGAAGCCTCAAAAGAGGGTGTCTGGACTGGGCGTAGTGGCTCAAGCCCATAATCCTAGCTATTCAGGAGGCAGAGATCAGGAAGATTGTAGTTTGAGGCCAGCTCAGGCAAAAACTTAGAGAGACCCCATTTCAACAAATGGCCTGTCATCCCAGCTATGTGCGAAAACACAAATAGGAGGTTTATGGTCCAAGCGGCCTGGACATAAAGCAAGACACGATCTCAAAAATAACTAAAGGAGGAAGCGGTAGGGCTGTTGCTCAAGCAGAGAGAGCCTGCCTTACAAGTGTGAGGCAATGATTTCAAACCCCAGTCCCACAAAACGACAGCAACAAAAACTCCACAAAGGTTTCTACTTTCCATTCCAGCTTAGGTACGCAAACTTTCTGAAGAATTTTTTTGGTGGTGGGGAGGGAAACAGGTGCCCAGCTCTTAGGTACAGTCAAATCTGTACATCTTCCTGAATGACGTAATCCTGTGCTGCACCGCTATGACTTCTACATAGTTTGTGTAACACTCTTCATCTTTATGTATTTTTAAAAGTCATTGTTACGATGCTGCCATGTCAAGAGATAGAGGATTTTGCAAGGGAAGAAACTGAACGAAAGCACTTCAGTGACTTTGTAAAGATTACACACGACATTTAAGTCCATGGCACTCTGCAGAGAATTCAGCTGGGTGCTTGTCTTATTAGCTCACTGCCACCAGTTACTTATTCACAATGGGAATCATTACTGCTGTAGGACTCATTGTTTCTCTAGTATCTGGCTTGACAAATCTATCAGCCCTGAGTAAGACACACAGGAGGCCCTGGGACACAGTAGCAAGGTCACCTATAAGACCCATAAAGGGATCTATAGTGTCGATTCCTTCCCAAGCATGCCTTTACCATATTACTGTTACTCTTCAGGGGTAAAAAGCCACAATATCTCAATCCCACAAAACCTTGAGCTGCAAAACCACATACTTCAGAGGTACCACAGAGCCTCTGCTGACGTGGCGTGGCTCACTGTGTGGTCCTCCTACTGATGAAGAACAAGAGGAGTGCCCCAGATAGGAACAGACGGGACAGAGAGCGAAGCCCACCCTGAGGGGTGGGTCAGGGAGCACAGCTGGGCTTAGTAATACCAAAATCTAGGGTGGAAAATATGCCAGTTCTGATCTTTGGGGTGTTTGCTAAAAAGCATTCCACTATCCTGTTACTCAGTTCAACAATGTAAGGGGCTCAGGAAATTCTAGCCAGAAGAGTAAGGGTCAGCATGGTCCCAGTACCTGCCTCAGCCTTGGAACAAGAAATGCTGTCTTGCTGTCCTTCTCTCTTCCCTTTGCTGTGCAATCCAAGCAACCTGACTCCCTTTTATCCAAGGACCAGAGTGGGCAGAAGGCACAGGAAAAGGGCAAAGGCAGGGATGATTTTATTCAGCAAAAAATTTGTCATCCATCTCCTCTCCCTCTCTCTCTCTCTCTCTCTATCTACCTACCAATCTATATCTATCTTTATCATCTATCTACCTACCTACCTATTTATGTCCATCTGTCTGTCTGTCTATCCATCTGTCTGTTATCTATCTATGTTTTGTGTAATACCTGAAAAATGTATAGACTTGAAGCTGAACACACACACACACACACACAAACACTGTAAAATAGGCCCACTTCTCCAATTTTACAAAAGTTTCTGTGAATTAGACCACCTGACCACTTAAGGTCAGTTGATGCTCTCTAGAATTTTCTTATTTTCCTAGCTTAATTTAGGTGGCAGCCATGTCTTTGTGGCTTTGGAGTGTAAGCTGATGGGCTCCCCTGGAGAGCCCAGGTAGCTGTCAACTGGCTGCTTGGCCACTGCTTTCTACTGAGGGCCGTATGCCTTTTTGCATAGCAGCCACGACACTTGCCATCCCATAACACAGGCTCAACAGTGCTCTTAGATGTCCAAAGTGACAGCAGGGTACTTCAGAGGTAGAACCTGCTTTTCCAAAGGAAATTAGTTCATTCTCCCAGCAAACATTTTAGGTTCTCTTACATATCTGTCTTTTCCTAATGTCTCGAGCAGCAAACAAAGCAGACAAAGGTCCTGCTGCTGGAGGAGTCTATGTTTGAAAACAAAGTTCATCAGACAGGCAACACACTTGCTTTAAACCAAGAAGTGGCTTTCAGAAGACATGTTCCACACAAATGACTCACTGTCCTTGAAGACTTAATAAAAATATTTTCTCCAAAACTGGGACATGACTTTGAAAACAAACAAAAGAGATGAGTTACTCATTGAAAAATGTGTGCACTCGGTACCATAGACCCATGACTGCAGAAGAACCGCAGTTCTGGACTAGGGCCTGCAACGTGGCACAGGTGGCCACTGTCCCCACATGCATGCTCCTCAGGCAACAGTTAGCCAAGTGGAACCGAGAAACCCTGAGTCACGTCTTGCTTCTCCTTCCTTTATTTCCATATCACATTACAAAGCAAATAGAGTATAATGGGTGTCTAGAGGGGAAACTACTTGATTTCAGGAAAACAGAATGAATACCCATAGCTATTTAACCTAACAATATGTCACTTCTTTCTTTCTTTGTAGCTATAACCACTGTCTCTGAGGAGCAGAATTATCTATAGATTCACTTATACAGAACATTTTTTTCCTAAAAAAAAAAAAAGAAAGAAAGAAAAGAAAAAGTCCTCTGAGAGAAAACATAAGCATTAAGTTGAATGGCTGTCCCACACAGTGAGTGCACCTGAGTGTGAGGTGGCTCCCGTGAGTGTTGGCTACTTTGGTCCACGTGGAGCATTTCCTTCATAAAATTATTAAATACTGAACTTTGCATTGGGACTGCCATCAAGACAAATGTAATCCAGGCTAGTTCTGCATTATACCCAGTACACCTGGGTATCCGCAGGGCTGTGGTTCCAAGGAGACTGCCTTTGAGGAGAAAGCACACGTGCTCAGAAAGCATAGCATTCATCACTAAAACCACTCAAATTAACCACACCACACGTCCAAAGTCAGAAGGTCTAAGTTATGGATATAAACTGCATGAAGTAGGCTACATCACTGCCACAAAATTACTACTGGATATGTTGTACTGCTCATCTGAAACGAGATCTTATTTCATGCTCTTTATCCCAAGTACTGTGGAGGGCTTGATTCATTTTTCTCCTAACACCACTCAACTTCCCTAAAGTCAGGCAGCCTTTCAACAAATCTCAAACTTTCTCTTTATTACTTCAGTTCAGCACATTATTGCTCTTTCTGGCTTGGGAGGATGTCCATAACTTTTACCTTTTGCTTTGTGGGAGGCAGATTTTTACAAAATGAAGGGCAGGGAGACAGTCAAAGCTCACATGATTTAAATATAACTGATGGTCACGCAGGACTGACTGAGAGCTTCTCCACCCCCACGGAGCTGTGCAATGTGCGTGGGAACTGAAATCTTGGTTTTCGAAGTTTCTTTTGACTCTTTTATTATTATTATTTTTGTGACCACCCTTGGTCAAAACCACATGTAATAAATCCACAAATAAGCCGGCCGGGCTTACTATTCATTATTATACTCATTTTTCTTTCACTTTTAAAAGAAATTAAAGCATTTTCCTAGGCCACTAGAAGTGGCCCTGAGCACTGTGTCTAATGGGTAAGCCAGGTCTGGACCACAAATGCTTGCTTTGTAAGCTACTTGGCATTCTAGACATAAGTTAAGCAAAAGAACTTACGGGACTTTCCTGGCAGGAACGATGACCTGCAGGAGGAAAACCACTGTTTTGCCAGTTAACAAAACTCTGATGAACTCCGACACAAGCCAAGAAATCTTTATTCAATTAAAATACTATTTGTCTTTGTAATAACTTTGAGCACTTCCAGAATAATTCAGTATCTCAAATATTTATGACTCCAACAAAGCATTAAGACTTTGCTGGTTAAGACAAAACTCTAACTCACTGTTGCACTTCGGCCTTTCATTTTGTTTTTATTTTATTGCCTGCTTTTTCTTTTTTAAAGACTTGGTATCAAATTGAAAGATAAACATCTTTTATTCATAAAAAAGTAACAACACAAGCTTACCAGACCAAGTCTCTTCACACATTCCTACCACTTTACTATGCATTTGACCTGCAATCAAACAGTGTTACTTCTCCCCCTGGGGTCTTGACAGATAGTTCTTCTGTAGTCAGGGGATGACACATTAAAGTACCAGGGAAAAAACAGAGGGAGACTACTGCCTGATTCTAACAGAAAGGCATCTGCCCCCCACCTTCCTTTGCTGCCTTTTATCCTTTATTGTGGTTTTCAAATACTACCATCACAAAATCAGAATGAGATTTTTGAATCTTAAAAAAAAGAAGTTAGAAAGGACAAACAGAACTTGTCTGGCTGATTAAAATTGATGTTTAAATGCTCTCCACCCAACCCTCCCCCTCAAAGGAAAGACTAATAGGCCAACAGAAGAAATGACTGCTGAATAGGCCAGGCTATGGTGACACCACGTTTGTGCTTTGTGTGTGTTATTTTGAGGAATACATTGTCTTTCAGTTTCATCCCTTGGTAAGCAATACTTATTATCTGTCTTGCAGAATATTTTAAAAGTATTTGAAAACAGTTTTTCCTACTTAAAAACAGAAGATTTTCTTAAAGAACAATACTTAATAAATCTAAATTACAAGCATATTTATCTTTTAGCATGTTTCATACTCACTGGGCAAAAGAAAAAGAGTAACCAACTCACTGTATAGTTGCGGTGTACCTTTTCAAGCTCACCTTCAACTCCTAACATCAGTCTTCACCTGTAGTGAAACAAAAAATAAAGCACTTGTTACTGAAATATTTCTTTTTCAGAATTACTTTAATGGAACATGAAAAATCTATCTCTATCGGGATAGATTTTAAGAGGCAAAAGGAAGACTGACAGCAAAAAGGCCAGAATTTTCCCAGGAAAAGCCCACACTATTTTGTAATAGACAGACCAAGATCACAAAAAATTAATTAAAAAACTTACAGGATGTGGGGTTAGAAAGTTATTGACATATAATCAGCCTTGACTTTACCCTTCCCTTGAAATACTCAGAAAATTCAAGAGCTGAACTTTCAAAAATCCTAAAAACAAAGGGGTCAACAAGTTGCCATAAGCCAGGAAGAATTCCCTCTAATGGAGAAGACAAACCCCAAGGGCACGAAGCAGGGCAGTAGAGTTGTGACGTCAGTCAATCTCAACCACAGCATCTCTAGCTCTGAAACACAAGTCCTCCACGGGATGGGAAAAGCCACCCACAGCCATCGCCACCCTATCCCCCAGTTCTTCTCTATGCTTAAGTCCCACGACTCCTCCCATCCTCCCAGCTTCCATCTTTGGAAGGCAATGGAGGGGAGTTCACACAGAAACAGGGGAGGTTTGCATTTGGTAAGGTTTGCAGTTCACAGCTTTTCCGTTCACTATTTTGGAAAAAAAAAGAACCACAGACACCTTGATGTTTGCAGAGTTCTAAAGATAAGCCTGTCTACAAGTTTATCAGCTGTGTATCTTTGTGAAGTTACTAAAAAAATTCCAGTTGACTGAACAGTGAAAAAGTAGTTACATAGTAGCATTAATAACACAGTGGCATAATACATAAAAGGGGAAGGAGGGACTAAGTATGCTATTATTATTACTATAAAATAGTCCAAAGAGAGTGCAAACTTCAAATGTCTTGAGAAAAATCTAATAAAGAACTTTAATATCTAGCTCCACTTATGTCTGAAATACTGGCTCATGTTATTTGGAAGGGAGGAATGGAGCCCGCCACAGTGGACATGCCTATAATCTCAGCACTTGGGAGGCTGACACAGGAGCCATGAGGTCATTGTGGGTTACGTAGAGAGACTCTGTTTCAAAAAAAAAAAAGTAAATATAAAAAAATGGAGGGCTGTCAGAGATGGGTAGAGGTAAGCTAATCTCAGTTTGTGTATGGGGAGTAAAAACAAAGCCGTTTCTCTTTTGATATAAGTAATTGGTGGTCTTTTTTAATTAGTGAGAACAAAGAAACAAACTAAATATTTAAATTTAGTTAAGTTAGAAGACAACAATATATATATTAGAGAGGCAGAAATAAAAATAAAAGCAGAAATGCAATTTAGATATTTAAAAAACAAAAGCTGGTTCGTTGCAAGTTGAAATAATTTATAGTTGAATGTCTGAAAAATCTGGTCTTAAAATCCAACATGAAGATGGTGCCTGTGGTTCACACCTGTAATCCTAGCTACATAGAAGGCTGAGATTGGGAAGATTGCAGTTTGAGGCCAGTCTGGGCAAAAAGTTTGTGAGTCCCCATCTCCAAAAAAGCAGAGTAAAATGGACTGGAAGTGTAGCTCAAGCGGTAGAAAGACTGCTTTGCAAATGCAAAGCCCTGAGTTCAAATTTTAGTCCTACCTTAAAAAAATCCACCATGAAACTAGAATTGTTCAAAGAATATATCAAAGAAATAGAAAAGATTTAAAGATGAGTACTCAATTAAAATATCCTTATAAATAAGATTTTAACATTTCAATGGAAACAGTTTTCTATGGTAATATTTAATTATCAAAAGAGAATCTAAAATATAAAAGCTGAAGAATGAATACATGTGGTTTACTTCAATGATTAAATAATAATAATAAAAAAATAGTTCCCTAACTATATAAAAAGCTTTCAGGATATTTAAAAAATGAGTCTGTCCAGTTTGTTTGATGATGTTAACCTGATAACCAAAACTGATAAGGCACCAAGAGAGAAAAGTACTAGATAAGATCTAAGAATCCTAAATAAAGTGTTCAGAAAACCCAGTTTCCGGTAAATGACACATCACTATAAACAGGGTTTAGTCTATAAATATTATATAAATAGAACTATTATGCTCTATCAATAGGTCACAAGAGCTTTAACCACATTCGTGTCTTCAAAGATGCTAACGTGATAAACTCAGAACCTCTATCTGATACCCTCTCAGTAACCTGAAAATAGAAGGATGATTTAATATAATGTTAAAAAAAAAAGATCTAAAATCATCCAGTACTTTTTTGCACAAATCAGGAAGAGAATGAAAGATGCAGGCACAGAAAGACAAATGCCACATGTTCTCAGTGATATGTGGAAGCTAAAAAAGCTGATCTCATGGAAGTAAGATAGAATAGTGGTTGCCAGCAGCAGGGCAAGGGTCAGGGGATCACGGTTAGTAAGTACAGGGGTGAAGCTGGATAGGAAGAATAACTTCCAGTGTTCTATAGCATAAGGAGGTGACTATGAGCGACACCTATTATTGTTTCAAAATTGTGAGGAAAAGGATTTTGAGCATTCCCAGCACAAAGAAATGATACATGTTTGAAGTGATAGATATGCCAATTATTCTAGTGTGACTGTTACATATTGTATACATGCTTTGAAATATCACTCTGTACCCCAAAAATATGTACAATTATTATGTGATAATTAAAAATTTTAAGATACAGAAATATAAATAAAGCCTAGAAAATAGATGCCCACTATGCAACAGTGAAAGGAAATCAACAGACCAAATTACCACCACAAGCAGGTGTCAAGATTGAATACTTAGCAAACTCAAAAGAAATCTTTTAAAAACTTATTAAAATGGTAAAGAAGTCCTCAAATAATTTGAAGCAAAAAATCCATAATTTTTGGCCAGTGACAACTGGACACTTGTGATTTGCCTACACACAAATACATGAAAATGGAGACAAGCTGAAAATAGATCATATTTAGAAAAATTATACTTACAGTAAAGAATCTTTACAGAAGGCATTTAAAGAAATCTTTAAGTTAGGACCATGATTTCCTCACAAGAAATAACAAAAAGTACAAATGTACCTTTTTAAGAAAGAAGAAAAAGCACTATATATAGTCAGGAAATTCAATATGAGGTAAAGTAATGGACTGGGGGTTTTGGTCATTACAGGAATGTGAGAAACAAAAGGACTTTTGTAATCAGCAATGCTTTTATAGGTGAATGCTTGAGAAACCTGGAGGCTGTTCTGTAAATTCAATATGTGATTTTTAGAAAAAAATGCACTAAGACTATTTGATTATCTGGCCTTAAGTGCAAAATCCACTAATGTAGTATACTCAAAGCATTAAATACAAATAGAATTTGATGTAAAAACAAAACAAAAGTAGCCGTCAATATTATACTTGTGCCAAGAAAATACTATCGCACTTTACTGAATCATGATGAAACAGGTTACATTTTATTGCTTTTGGCCAAAGGACAATGTTAAGTTTACAGTCTGGAGTATAAGCAAGATAAATGCTTAAAATAAGTTATATAGGCAAAATGCAGTAAATGTGAGCATGAGTATAAAAATAAATAAGATGTCAGGGTTGGTTTTGTAAAAAGGAGACACAAGTCCAATATAACACCATGTCCTTTTAGTTACCGTGTCTAAAATAAGCTCACCTTCGACTTTAGACAGCACTCAGAGAGAGACTAAAAGCTATGTTACAATAGCTATAGGATCAAATATAGTTATCCCAGAGTGAACGTTAACAAAATTACCCATGAAAGGACTAACCTTGCTTTGTGTACATAGGACAAAATAGAAGTCATTATATCATGTGACTAAGTAAAAGTTGTTTTAACAGTCTGATTTAGGCATGATTTTTAAAAAGGAACAATTGAAAGTTATGATAACACTTGTACTTATGATAATTACTGAACAAACTCCTAAAATACAAACATTTTTCCATAAAATAGCAATTATTTGACATATAGGAGCCCCAAGAATTTGTTTGTAAGCATGAAATTTATTTCATGAGTAAAACACATGAACTTCATAAAAGGAAATGAAGTGAGGGTGGAAATCCATATATGGTCTATTGGAAGTGACAGAATTTTAGATCAGTGTCTAATGGGGGAATCTACCAATGTTCTTTCTGTAAGTTTCTAGAAAGTTTTCTTCAAATCAGTAATACAGATGATCTAGTGGACAAAACAAAAGTGAGTATTTTTGAGGGTCTACAAAATTGTATCATGTAAGTCCCCAAAGAAGCTCTATTTGGGTCAAAGTCTGCTTCTGTCTCTACCTGCCATCTTGGGGTATGTGTCATTTCATATCTATCCCTCTGGTTTGGGAGTACTAGCTAGGTAACTTGTGACTCTGGGCCTATTGCAACATGAGAGCTGCTTCATTTCATTTGTAGACCACAAGCAAGTAGCAATGGTTGGTGTGATACAAATTAACTTCTCCTAAGTGGGTGGAACAGTATCCTCTACTGTTTTAGAGACATCCATCTACCTACTGTCTGGCGCCCGGGGATATCAGCATTTTCCTCTCTCTTGCTTTACTTCAGCCCATGTTCTCGAGGGTCATTAATTAGCTAAGCCATCCATCATGTTCCACCTAATTACTGTGATTGGTTCAAGGATAAGTCTACGCTAGACCAATCGGGGCCGATCAGACCTCATTCGGGATATTTTATTAAAAAGGAAATTTCCCTGCTCCTCTCAGATATGAATAAGAGAGGATTTTGAGTTAGAGGTACTGCTAACATCAGGGGCCTGAGAATGACCTAACATGGAGGAATCTCATTTTGATCAAATTCCTGTGCTTTTGAACTTGTAAAATAGGCTTATACATATACCAGTGTAACTTACTTCCCCACTCAATATTATGCTGTTTTGCTAACTGTGTAGTGTAATTGTTTGCAAGGGCAGGTAGTATTTTATTGGGTAATTTGTGGTATATTTATAGTCATGGACGGGATATTGACAAGTCAGTCAATGATGGACCCTGTATACAACAGTGGTGTCATATGTGCTAT